TTGGTTCAAAACTGGTCACTTTCGAGCGAACACATTAAATAACTTGTAATTCTATAGTAGGTACTTTAAAAAGTAAAACTCCCAAAACCAGACTGCAAATCCGTAAAACTCGGCCAAAATCTTCAATTTTTTTAATATTTTCAAATGTCCATTAAACGGTTCAATTTGAAAAATAATTAATTGAAAGTTTGTATGTTTTGAGCACAATTGTATTTTATCAAAGTTATAACGTCTAGAGTATTTAAAAACATGTATTTTAAATTTCACCAGTTTGCACTTGAACATTAACAACTGAAACTTGCAAGAGCTCGATTGATTCTCAATCGCGCAAAAAAGATTGAATCTCCTACTCCTCCAAATTAAAGAGACATTTTGCAAGTATTTGCCCAAATTAAATTTTGTACTTTTTGCGCTCTTTCAATAGCAAATGAATGAAGCTGAATCTCGGTTTGCAAACGCACAATATCACATTCAGGCTCTTCCTGAATCCCCAGTTTGATAATGAAAATTTTATCCTGAAGCGCAAAATTGTACTCCGAGTAAAAAAATCTGTTGATTTCGAAGAAAAGCCAGCGCTTTAGTTGGAAATTCAATTATTTTGCTCTGAATCTTGTGTACTGCTACAATTTGAATTGCTTAAATCAAACTTAAAAAGGAGATTGGAAATATTGTGATTCATCGAATGCTCCAAAACTTTCATCGCACAACTTGGATGTCGATTTCAGTCCAGTCACAGAGTAGTGTAGTCTTCAAATGTCTTCAATTTCCAAAAATCCCAAATTTTTCTTCAAAAGCTGAATGGCTTTCAGCAAATAGTTCAGGACACAACCGGCCTTTTGAAGCTAAAGTCCTGATTGATGCTCCCAATAATCGCCCTGCAAATACACTCTTTACACGTGTTTACTGATCAGAATAAAACGAATTTCTCCTTGCCCATTGTCTCAACTCGACAAATTGCTGGCGCATTTATCTTCGTTCTTCTATCGGTTCTGCACGATTATCGGATCGCCGATTTCAATGGAAAAACTCAATCGTTATGGGCATTGCGGACCATCAAATGCCCGATGTTTTTGCAGGGCAACTTCACATGGAAGCGAATTAGGCTCGTGGAACTTCTTCGGCGATAAACCAACCGGCATGCACAGTTTAACTACCCGAACAGCAACAAGAACGTCACATGCATAAACCAGATACCGGACGCCGATGTTTACAATGTTTGTCAATATTAGAGTGACGCTTTATTGCAGTTTAGTAGAGCATAAATAGGCGGAGTGCTCCAGCAGGCGACATTTCAAATTAATTTAGTGGCTCGGCAATTAAATACAGAATAATTTCAGTGCATTGTGACGGTCAAACGGCCCCCCAAAATTACAATAACCAACTAGAGCCACATAATTTCAATTAAATGTTCGCAATTGTATTAATATGACAGTATCTGTGTGAAAGAGCAACTTTATTCAAGCCCAAATTCGTATGCACTGTGATCATAACTTAATCAGATCCAAGCGGCAACAATTTTGGATAGACTGATCTGCCGAAACTCCCGAATAGACAACAATATCGTTCATGTAATATGCATCAACGGGTTACCATGCATATCTTCCTTCAACGCAATCCGGTTGTCGGAGCTACGTGGATCTCATTCGGACTGATAATGGAAAACAATGGCCATCCATAAGGAAAAAGGAGAAGCAAAGGCGCCGGCCATCATGCCGAATCAGTTTGATTGACGCGGGTCCGCTACCGGCTAAGCCCTTTTGCGGCTGGCAAACGAAATAATCCCGAGGTGTGTTGAATTATGCAATGTAATTGTTTCAGCGTTGAATTTGTTGTCTATTTAGCCCTTTTCTTGCGGATTAATTATTCCCCATCGGCAAACTGGGCACGGGGATGAAAGCCAGCAAAAAATAATCCCCACATCCAGCCATTAAAACTTGCCTAAGTCGGCAACTTGGGGTTTAGTCAAGTTGAAAACGAATAAGCCGAAAGTCGCGAAGCCGTCCGGCTAATGGAGCAGTTTTTACGGCTATAAATACGTCCATGTCGATATAAATGGAACATAAATCAGCCCCAAGTGCCACAAATTGCCATAGAGTGGAGTCACTCAAACGGGACAACCACCTGAGGAAGACCCTCTATGCTCTCAGACACTCTACCTGCCCGAACAGTGATTTTTCTGCGGCAAAGTGTTTCCTGCTGCATAATAGTCGCAAACAAATTGCACAATTATGCATCGGCGTAATTCGGTCCAATGCACTGGAAGCCACCAACTTTCGCCTTCGTGACCGCAAAACGTAATAACTCGATGAACAGCCACGCCCGAATTACGACACATTTTCTACATGGCAAACATGAAAGTAATCAGCGATGTTTCATCCGCATCTATGAAGTTATTAGCGACTAAGTTTGCGCGACTCGCAATCAAGTAATGTCGCAATCAGAAACTTTATTTATAGCTCTAATATCAAGCTCCATCTTTCCAGGTTGAGTAGGTGTTTTGCAGTTGCTCCCTAATATGGGCACATAACTCGGGAAAGGTGCGGCTCATCTCCAGATTTTATGGAATTGTCTGCATTAACGCTCAGAGTTGATGGCAGTGGCAAAGTGGACGATTTGACGCAAAATTTTAGAAAGAACTATACAAAATGTCCTAGAAATCCACAAAAATTGGCAAGAATCTTGGCATTTTTGCTTCTAACTCTTTGTCAAGCCACCACTCTCTAGATAAACTGTTGAAAATATCTGAATATTTCCAACCGGTTTTCAGCCACATTCCAAACCCCAAATTGGTTACTGAACTGCTCTAGAAAAAAGACGCTTCACGGACAAATTTCGACTAACTTTGGAACTGGATCAATTCTGAGTGCTTCGGGAGATTCCATTTCTGTTTGAAGCGTTATTTAGTGCAGTTCTTTTTCGATTATCGCGTGATTTTTCAACAAACTAGAGCTTCAGATTCAGTTTCCACAGGGTGGCAAACGAAACATTGCAAAATAGCGAATGCTCCACATGCTCTGAGTTGGGCAAAAAACCTTTTTCTTTTTGATATCACACGCATTTTTCGACCATCCAGTTTATGACGGTCCCAAAAAATCAACGTTTTGGGCCTGGAATGGTCAATTTCTGTCTCAGGAACCGAGTTTCAAAATTTGGAGCTCGTGTTTAAGCTAAAACTTCACAACTAATGGGTTTTCCGGGTTTTTAGGCCATCGTTCGGTAGAATTTCTTCTTGACGTTTCGCAAGCACGAGTGGCTTGCATCTTCAGAAGTGGTTTGCTTGAACAGTGTA